TACACTTTCCCATTTCAAAATAAAACATGAGACGTGTTCTTTTAATTGGATGGACACAAATCTCTCAGGCTTCATTAAAGTATCTTAGGTTTTGTTTCAAAGATGAACGCTAGTCTTAAAGGGTTTCGAGTTTATTATCCAGGGACGTGCAAAGGGTCGGGGCAGGCAGCAAACAATTAGTCGTCAATGAAACAATAGCAAGAGTTCGGGGCAGGCAGCAGGCAATCAAAAGGAGAGAAGCAGTTCAGGTAATACACAGAGAGGCCAGACACGGAAGGAAACGCTCAGAAATGTACACCGGGGCAATACAAGACTTCGCAATGAGGGAGAGTCTGAAAGCTGTTTAAATAGTCACCTAATGGGAATCAGGTGCAGGGCAATCAGAGCCAGGTATGTGTGTGTGTGTAGACCGGATTAAAGTTAAAAACTCAGGAGAGAGTTCCCTCTGGTGGTGAGCAGGAGGCACAGTGGGAGTCTCATTTGTGACAGAGCCCCCCCCCCTGTGAGCGGCTCCTGACGCGAGGAGGCAGGCGACGCCGGGGTCTTCCGCGTGGTCGAGGGGCCGGCTTATCCGGGTGCGTCCTATGAAACTCGTTGGTGAGTGTGGGGTCGAGGATGTCCTTAGCATTGACCCAGGAACGTCTCTTTGTCATGGAGGTTAGAGGGGCGGCTACGGAACTGAAGTTTCTGATGAAGCAGCGGTAGAAATGTGCAAATCCTAAGAAACGTTGTAGTTCTTTTAGTGTCGCCGGTTGTGGCCAGTTGAGAACAGCTCTGAACTTCTTCTCATCCATCGCCACTCCCTCCTGACTGATGATGTAACCCAGGAATGACGTACCGGTCTGGTGGAATTCACATTTCTCAGCTTTGGCATACAGTTTATGGTTGATGAGTCTTTGTAAATCTGACCTCACGTGTTGTACATGTTCCTCATATGTGTTGGAGTAGACAAGGATGTCATCGATGTAAACGATTACCCAACGATCCAGCATGTCCCGGAAGACGTCATTGATGAAGGATTGGAACACAGAAGGACTGTTAGCAAGGCCGAAAGGCATAATGGAATATTCATAGTGCCCAGTACAGGTGGAGAAGGCTGTCTCATCACCCTGTCTGATGCGGATGAGATTGTAAGCGTTGCGGAGATCTAACTTGGAGAAGTAGCTGGCTTTGCGAAGTTGCTCCAAGGCCGGTGGTACTAGTGGCAATGGGTATCGGAATTTAACAGTTATGTCGTTGAGACCCCGGTAATCGATGCATGGACGTAGACCTCCATCTTTTTTCTTAACGAAGAAGAATCCTGCTGATGCAGGTGAGGTTGACGGCTTGATGAATCCCTTAGAAAGTTCCTCGTTGATATATTTCTTCATAGTCTCTGACTCGGGTTGGGATAAGGGAAAGATACGGCCTTTGGGTGGTGCTGCACCTGGTAGTAGTTCAATAGCGCAGTCGCTAGAACGGTGAGGGGGTAGTTTTGACGCCTTGGATTTACTGAAGGCCTCAATGAGATCTGTGTACTCTGAGGGAAGTGCAGACGAGTGAGCTGACTCGTCCGTGAGCTTGACGGCTTGAACTGAGATTGCTGGCTTGTTGCTCAGACACTTGGCTTGACATGAAGGATCCCACTGAATGATCCGACCCTCCCTCCATGGAGATGAGTAGGTCATGTTGTCGTAACCAGGGAGGCCCGGAGATGGCCAGCTTGGCCGCAGTAGAGACCCTCACCAACATCTAGCGTCTCCACTGCCAGCAGAGAATTGCAAGGGATTAGAGGAATGTTATGTTGTCTATGTTGTCGATGTGACATGAAATTCCCCGCTGCCCCTGAGTCCAGTAGCGCTGAGGTAGATATGTTATTACCCTCTATGGATAGTGTTATGGGTACTTTTATGCATGTACTGGAGTGATGTGCCTGAATGCATGGACTCACCGCAGAGGAATTACGAAGAGGCGGTCGTGTGGGACAGGAGGCCCGGAGATGGCCAGCTTGGCCGCAGTAGAGACAGAGATGTTGAGTGATTCGGCGCTCTCGCTCCTCTGGAGACAGGTGAGTGTATCCGAGCTGCATGGGTTCCACAGAAGAGGAGGAAGAAGAAGTGATTGGAACCGAATGACTGGTAGGTATCGTTCTGGTAGGGCGACGAGAACGAATCAAATTGTCAATTTGAATAGCCAGTTCTATGAATTGGTTGAGCGTTCTCCCCTCGTCCCTGCAAGCTAGTTCCGATTGGAGTTCAGGGCTGAGTCCCTTGCGGAAAAGCAGTTTCAACGTGCTTTCAACCCAATCAGTCTGAGCGGCGAGGGTGCGAAATGACAAGGCGTACTCAGCTGCGGTATTTCTGCCCTGAGATAAGGCGAGCAATTGTTCATCCGCATCTTTACCTCCTTCAGGATGTTCGAATATTTCTCGGAAGCGTCGGAGAAAAGTACTAAATGTGGGGAAAGCTGATCCATCCTCCCTCCATACTGCCGTGGCCCACTCCAAAGCCTTCCCAGTTAGGAGTGAACAGACAAAGGAGATCTTGCTGATATCAGTGGTGTACAATCGCAGGCTGTTGGTTGACAAACAAGGAGCATTGCAACAGAAATCCCTTACACTTCGTGGGGTTTCCGTCGAATTTGTCTGGAAGAGCCAGGCAAGGATTCATCGAGGGAGTGGCAGGGGATGACATGTCCATGCTCGGCTGAGTAAGCGCTGATTCCGGAGATGAAAGGCGCATACTCCGAAGCACGTTAACAAGCTCCTCAGATAGTG